CAGGAGTTGGGAGTGTTTCAGACATCACCATTTCCTTCCCATCCATCACATTCAGCCAGCGGAACTAAGCCACAGACGCTGCGCAAAATAATCATTCCCATGCAACAGGTCTGACACAAGTCCTCATTCCATAACACAGCTGATCAGAAATGATAATAGCAATCATGCCGCTGAATATTTCAGAGGCCCGTGTTTGATGGTGTGTGTGTGTAGGTGAATTCACATTGCCTAAAATCTAGTTAGAGGATGTGAGTAAATGTAGCTGCAGTTATTCTTGTCAAGGTAAAACAACATGACGTATTTTGACTTCAAAGAACAGACACAAAGGTTGAAATGAGAATATCTCCGCTAAGTCAGAGGGAGGCCTGTGAGGAAAAAGGGAGGCCTGTGAGGAAAAAACAATTTTGTGAGCAGTGAGCTTTGCTAAATTAGATGAGAATCTTTCAGCAGGGGCATGAAGAGTTCAATCCGCATCTCAGCTTTCATGTCAGGCTATCATCCAATGTCCTTCTCAGTCCCTGGCCTTTGCAAATATGCCAATTTGAATTTCACCTGCTTCTGTGCCCTTCCTGTTCTTTTCTCCTTTTATCAAAAGGCGGCTTTTTAAATGCTGATTTATTCATAATTATTTAAAAAATGGATTCCATGAAAGTATACTTTCCCTGCCTTGGTACAATGTTGTGTTGCCATGAATAACAAATAGGTTCATTATTGAAATATTCATCCTGAGCTTGTAATATGAAAAGCAATCTCCTGCTTGCCTTCACCCACAAGTTTTAGTACTGCGCTGATAGATGAACGGGCAAATCTAGGGTAGAAAGTGTTAACAATCGTACCCGCCATTTCCTCCATACTACCTGCAGCCATACTGTTGGAAGACAAACTATAGAAACACGATCTAGTACCGGAATTCTTTGGGGATCCCGCAAATGAAAGGAATTTCTCCTGACTGTCCCTTTACAAGCAAAGTTGACTGCTTTAAGTGAAAAGGGCTCCAATCATTCAGTTGTAAACTGGACCAGCAGAGTCTCGAGGGGAATGAACTGGCGGTGGAGCAGCTACATTTTGCCATCGCTGTCCACTTTTAAGTACGCCTCTTGCCTTGGGTCCTGCTGTAAAAGCCCATCATCAGCCAGAATAATGTGAGTTTTGCTGGCCATTTAAGGAACAATTTCCAGGCGCACCGCTGCCATTTACTACGGCGTTTTGTAGCCTTTCCTGGGAAGAGGATCTTTAAAGTGTTGAAATGCTCAAAGCTTCTCATCATCCATTTGTGTCCAGTGTGATAGATTTTAAAAGCACGGATGCTATTTAAGTATGTAAAAACAGCGTTTAAACCTTGGTACCACCACCACCCATCTACTTGCATTTGACTAATTAGCAGTGGTCAGAGCTCGGGATCGTTTGGGGGTCAAAGCGTTTTTGACTCAGGAACTAAATCACGGTTTAGCTTACTTTTAAACTCAAATCCAATTTCTTAGCTAACAAAAAGGTTCTGTTTCTAAAAATGTACTGCTCTTCACAGCTTTGGTCATGTGTGCATCGAGCTTTACCGGAGTCTCGTCGCATGTGTCTGCTGCCGCCTCGCCTGCTCTAAACAACCTATTAGTCTGGTCCATTTCTCCTTATCATTACCCACAAGCGCCAAATCCCCCGTTCTGATAGGTTGCCCTCCGCTCCATGTGAGCTCTCTGTTGGACGCTGATAGAAAAAGACTTTGGCCATCGGAGCTGCTCTGCGGTTTGTGCGTTTTTTTAGCCTTTGAAGGGTAATGGCAGGAGATCAATGAGATGCATGTGGCCTTTATGAGGGAAGCGTATTGATAACTTGAAGGCAGCGAGCTGAGGCGGTGCCAAAGGGGGAACGTCAGCCTAAATGCATTACTCCCCCCTTTCTCCTCGATTCCTTGTGTTTTTCTTTTTATCTATTACTGTCCCTTTTTTCACCCCTCTGCTCGCTCTTCTGGCTCAGCTAGCTGTGACTGGTCATTAAAACAAACATTAAGCGCTCTGTGAGTCCAAAGCTCGTCCTTCTCCCCGCTACTGCCCATAAAACAGTGAAGCCGTAATGGCACACCCGACGGCCACGCTTGACAATCAGGGGTAGGGAAGAGCGTCTCCTATGATGCTGGAGCTGAGCCAATGCATACATGTGGGTGCAAAAAACAAGTGTCGTGTAGATATTTTTGCCGGGTCGTTCAATTGCAAGGAAGTCAGTGTTTAATGAGATCGCTAATGATAAAATACACGCACAGTGGTGCCGAAATGTGTATAGTAAAACTGATGCTGTGTATCTCTCTAATGTCTCTACCCACTGTATTCATTTAGTTTCTTCATTTCAATTTCATCAAGATGCGATCCATTGCGGCAGAAAGCATTATCTCTTGTTATCTGAGCTTAAATGACAGCAGGGAAAACGTGTGTTGTACCGGGTAGCGCCAAGAATCCCACTGAGGTCTCCAGTCTTCCACACATCGTTCATCTTGAGCCGATACGGATGATATCGAACGTACATCTGCGCTTATGTTGGCATCGCGTGGACTGAATATGCGCAGCACCTGTGTTATATTAAACGCTATTCTTTGAAGAGTGTGCGGATGCCCGGACCGGGGGAATTCCATTATCAGCAAGGTGACAGGTGAACATGACTTCTCTTCTCTCTCCCTCCTCCTTCTGCCAAGGTCAAACAGATGTCATGGACAAGTGTTGGGGGGGGGGGGGGATTTCATTTAAATGATGTAAAAGGAAAAGAAAGGCAAAGAAATTATAATATAAATAGGAAACCATGGCGAGCGTATTGATGTCATGGCTTTCAGTATGTGGATAGCGCCCTAGTTTCTTGAATGCATGTTGCACACACATTTCATTTCAAAGCAGGAGGGATGATAAGAATGCTTAAGAATCCACAATGACGTTAATACTGACAGAATCAAATGTTTTGAACCTACAGAAGCACAAATGTTGTTTTTTTTATAGCCTCAAGCGCTTCCGCAGCCAATCAATACGCGGTTAGTAAAACCATAACATTATGAACAGCATGATCCCTGAGTGCACACACACACACACGCACACACACACACGGGCGTAAATAGCAGCTGAATACAAAGCGCTGGAGCGATGCAAAAGTTTGATTTCTTCTAAGTAACTGCTGCACCTGTATTAGTTTCCTTTGACACAACGGTGACGGCGAATGTCTCGGAGGAAATAAAGAAAAAAAAAAAAGAACTGCAGCTCGTTATTAAATGAGCCAATGAATATCTGGACGGATTTCCGACAGGCGTTATCGAAGAAGCCTCTGGGCCTCGCTTTGGCGTGAAAGATGGTGGTCATTTGGCCGGACGCGGGAGCGCTGAGGACTCCACCCCCCCCCTTTCCTCCTGCGCTGGAGCAGACGGGTGCAGAGGAGCCCAGGGCTGGCTGCATTAATGAACAGGCAGTGCTGGAAGAGACAGGTTCCTGTAATGCCGATGAATGGTCATTACAGAGAGGAGAGGGTGAGAGGAGCACAGCCGAGTGGGCTCCCAGGGAGCAGCGGGGGGGAGGGCTTTAATTTGCACCTCAGATTTCTGTAAACTCGTTTATCATGTCAGCACTGCCGCTGTTCTCCCCCCGTGCCCCCCTACTCCCCCCTCTCCTTGCCCCCACCTGACCCAAACCTTCTCCGTTTTCCTCCAGATTTTGGCTTGGGCCGAATAGTTTTCTTATCTACATTGTTTTGGTGTATTTTGTGGACCCTAAAATCTGACACCCCACCTTCCTGTATTCCCCGTTCCACGTTTGTTTTATCGACTCTGCATTTTTGAAGAATCCTCGCCAGTTGTTGGGGCTGTGTGTGGAGAGGTGATTGGGCAGCTGGGGCTTTAAAGGGGCAGAAGAAGGCGGAAACACCAGGAAATAGATGCTCTCAAGAAACATGAACGGAATTCACCCCCACCTGCCACTCTATGGGCCCCATTAACTCCTACTGGCCTGCACTTGTTTGCATCATTGGTCGGGTCGTGTAAATAAATCTGTGTGCCATATATTATTATTTTTTATCAAAAAGAATGCGGTTTAATTACAGACGGCGGAAGATATTTGTGGAGAAAATGTAAGAACGTTCAAATCTCTCTCTGCTCCAGAAAATCTTAATTTCAAATCGGTGTGGCTTTTATCTGACTGTTGTAATGCATTCTGCCTCTCTATGTATCTCTCCCTGTCTGTGCAATAGCTGTAAGTATAAAGCACCGTTCGTAAATCCAGAATGCAAGCAGACTTTCTGCCTCTGCAAATTTGAGCCTGACCAGCTCTTTTGCAGCTGGCCTGTTATTAAAACATGTTTATCTGAAAGCAAGCTTCCAGGCAACCATCTTTTATTTCAGTAATTACTCTTTCCGATTCACAGTGATTCCAGCCAAACGGTAATGGCACATTTTCATCATGAGTTAATTCCCAGAGGAGCCTCGGATTCTCATCCAACATACTTTCTGGGTCACACCTGCAAGAAATGGCCTGCAGTGCATTTCAGTTCGATCTGCAGGCAAATGCCTTTCCTTTAGACTGCCAGGCAGCAGTCCCCATCTTTCTAATTGCAATTCAACAGTGCATGATCCTGAATCATTTATAAACCATATTTTGTAATGTACGAACTGTGCGACTAGCCTGTTTCAGCCTAGATTGCAAATAGCTAAAGTAATCACGAGGTTTATAACACGCTACAGCGCTTGAGTACATTTGAGACATAAGGCGTGGTGTTTGTGGTGTCGCTTCACCTAAAGTTGTTTCCCAAAAAGTAGGATGTGTGTGTGTGTGGTTGAATGAGCCCCACAGCTCGACCGGCTGATTCCCTTCTGTTAATCCAGGAAGTAGACTCAAATCTAGAGCCTTGGGGAGTTTCGCTGATATCTGTACAAACTCTCTGTGGAGCTGCCAGTATTAGAACGCTCCATTAAAAAAAAAAACAGCCTTAGCACCAGTGATAACGAACCATCTGCACTCTTCTCTTTCCTTCTCTTGCTGTAGTGGGAGGAGGTGAGCGGCTACGATGAAAACCTCAACACAATCAGGACCTACCAGGTGTGTAATGTCTTCGAGCCCAGTCAAAACAACTGGCTCCTCACCACCTTCATTGATCGGCGCGGAGCGCAGCGCATCTATGTGGAGATTAGATTCACCGTGCGCGACTGCAGCTCCATCCCCAACGTTCCCGGCTCGTGCAAGGAGACGTTCAATCTCTATTACTATGAAACTGACGCCGTCATCGCCACTAAAGGCACGGCCTTCTGGATGGAGGCCCCGTACCTCAAAGTGGACACCATCGCTGCGGATGAGAGCTTCTCGCAGGTGGACTTTGGCGGGCGCCTGATGAAGGTCAACACTGAGGTGCGAAGCTTCGGCCCGTTGTCCAAAAACGGCTTCTACCTGGCGTTCCAGGACTACGGCGCCTGCATGTCTCTGCTGTCGGTCCGGGTGTTTTACAAGAAGTGCCCGAGTGTGGTCCAGAACTTTGCAATCTTTCCAGAGACCATGACGGGGGCAGAGAGCACCTCGCTGGTTATTGCGCGAGGAGTCTGCATTCCCAACTCGGAGGAGGTGGATGTCCCCATAAAGCTGTACTGCAACGGAGACGGGGAGTGGATGGTTCCTATCGGCAGCTGCACGTGCAAGGCCGGGTTCGAACCTGACAACGGCAACGTATGTCGAGGTGAGTAAGAAGTACAACATCCACTCGTCATGAACTTCCCTCAGTTGTTATCCGAGTGCGTTGCCTCTCGTTGATGGACGAGATGGATTTTCGCCATTTTCTTATTATTGAGGGGCTGCTCTTATTACAGCAAATCACTTGACTGAAGACGGGTGACAGGAAATTGTGCTATTTTCGGTGTGCGTACCTCGGATCGCAGGTTTCCTACATCATTGGAATGTTTGAATTGATTTTGTTTCATGCATTTCGCTGAGCGCGACGCGCTGCACTTCCACCTTGATCACATCCACCTCCGGCGTACTCGAAAAGGCACATCAGCATTGATTCTTAATCTGGAGCGCACGCCAGCCTTCTGCGCGGCAGCCCACCTCGCAGATGGCGAGAGGTTTGATTTTGCGTCAGCAGGATAAGCGGAGGACTAAGTTCTGAGGCAAAGACGATTGCGCGCACACATAAAGACAAGGTTAAGCTGAGCTTCCACTTCCAGCTCTCACTTTTCTCCCGCGTATTCTGTCCGTCCTCTGACGGACCTTTTCAGGAATCAGGAATCAGGAATCAGGAATCAGGAAACATTTATTGGCCAAAATATGTCAAACATACAAGGAATTTGTCTTGGCGGTTAGTGCGCGACAGTAGACAGACAAGACAACAGTGCACAGGTAATAAAATAAGGTGGAATGAAATGCTAATGCAATGGGTTAGTAAGAATAAGGCTAAGGCTATGGGTTAGTAAAAAAACAAGGGAATAAAGTTAAACAAATTTTAAATATTAAAAAGTTAAAAAGAAGTATTAAGCATAAAGTGCACTAACAAACAAGTAACAGACAAGAGACAAAGTGACAAGTGACAAAGTGATGAATTGCAGTTAAAGTGGCATGTGCAGTGTGAGGGGGAGTGACCGGTGGAATGTTATAGTCAGTCAGTGGGGGACCGGGCTCTGTTGATGAGCCCGACTGCCGACGGGAAGAAACTGTTCGTGTGGCGGGAGGTCGTAGTCCTGATGGACCTCAGCCTCCTGCCAGATGGAAGGGGCACAAACAGTTTATGTCCGGGGTGGGAGGGGTCGGCCGCGATCTTTTTAGCTCGCTTCAGAGACCTGGAAGCGAACAAGTCCTCCAGGGACGGCAGATTGCAGCCGATCACCCTCTCTGCAGAGCGGATGACACGCTGCAGCCTGCCCTTGTCCTTGGCTGTGGCTGCAGCGTACCAGACGGTGATGGAGGAGCAGAGGATGGACTCGATGATGGCCGTGTAGAAGTGGACCATCATCGCCTTTGGCAGGTTGAGTTTCTTCAGCTGCCTCAGGAAGAACAACCTCTGCTGAGCCTTCTTGGTGATGGAGCTGATGTTCAGCTCCCACTTGAGGTCCTGGGTGATGATGGAGCCCAGGAAACGGAAGGAATCCACAATAGTGACGGGGGAGTCACACAGGGTGATGGGGGAGGTTGGGGCTCTGTTCCGCCGGAAATCCACAACCATCTCCACTGTCTTTAGAGCGTTGAGCTCCAGGTTGTTCTGGCTGCACCACGACACCAGATGGTCAGACTCCCACCTGTAGGCGGACTCATCCCCACCAGAGATCAGTCCAATGAGGGTGGTGTCATCCGCAAACTTCAGGAGCTTGACGGACTGGTGGCTGGAGGTGCAGCTGTTGGTGTACAGGGAGAAGAGCAGAGGGGAAAGAACGCAGCCTTGGGGGGAACCGGTGCTGATGGTCCGAGAGGCTGAGACATGTTTCCCCAGCTTCACGTGCTGCTTCCTGTCAGACAGGAAGTCTGTGATCCACTTGCAGGTGGAGTCGGGCACGTGCAGCTGGGAGAGTTTGTCCTGCAGCAGAGACGGGATGATAGTGTTAAAAGCAGAGCTGAAGTCCACAAACAGGATCCTGGCGTAGGTTCCTGGGGAGTCCAGATGCTGGAGGATGTAGTGGAGGGCCATGTTGACAGCATCGTCCACAGACCTGTTGGCTCTGTAGGCGAACTGCAGGGGGTCCAGGAGGGGGTCGGTGAGGGACTTCAGGTGGGACAGGACTAGCCGTTCAAAAGACTTCATGACTACAGAGGTCAGGGCGACGGGCCTGTAGTCATTGAGTCCTGTGATCCTGGGCTTCTTGGGGACAGGGATGATGGTGGAGGCCTTGAAGCAGGCTGGTACGTGGCATGTCTTCAGGGAGGTGTTGAAGATGTCAGTGAACACCGGAGACAGCTGGTCAGCACAATGCTTCAGGGAGTGAGGGGAAACGGAGTCTGGACCGGCTGCCTTACGGGGATTTAGTCTTCTAAAGAGCCGGTTAACGTCTCTCTCCAGAATAGAGAGGGTCGTTGCTGGTGGGGGAGGGGAAGGTGATAATGATGAAGAGGCGTGAGCACCTGATGGGCTGGGGGAGGGAGGGGAGGGGGACTGCGGCAGGTTGGTGGAGCTGTGGGGGATGGGAACAGGACATTGTCTTTCAAATCTGCAGTAGAACTCATTGAGCTCGTCTGCCAGGCGGAGGTCATTCATGGAGTGGGGGGTTTTTGGCTTGTAGTTGGTGAGGTGTTTGAGGCCTCTCCAAACCGCAATGAACGACTCACTTGCTGAGAACTGTT